TTATAACTTCAGGAAAATTCACTACGAAACGATGAAATGACATGTACTGATAATACGAGAAGGCGTATATTTAAATGCCATTTAAAGACATGCCTTCTATTCACTTAATTCATTAAGTATTCGCTTATATGTATTAATAATTCTGCGTTGATGGAATGATAATTATTATTTACAGTGTTTTGACCAAAATTAGATTTTAAGATAGTTTCAACGGGTAGATTCGTCTGAATTGTTGCATACCATGTAATGTAAACATGTCCGACTAAACTGCGTAGTCAAATGAAGTGAAGTGAAATAGGGTTTAACGTCCTACTGTTCTGCTCCGAACTGGGCTAATGAAGACGGGCATACACCATACAGTGTGCTATGAGGGATATTTTGCCCGGACAGCAGCACTACTGCCTACTCTTATATCCAATTCCAACTGTCAAGGGATCTTTTACGTGCACGCCAATGTCTCGACGGGACCTCGGTTTTTCGTCCCATCCGAACGAATAGACAGTAGTCCTTGTCAGGATCTCCGTCCTGCATCACTGATAAGGGGGGGGGGGGGGGCGTAGTCAAATGAATAAAAAGAAATATTGCCGATCAGTTAGATTTATTAAAAGACACTTTGGCTCTAAGCCACTGATTGGCTTTTTTTCTTCATGGTAAAGAAAGTAATTGCCTCCACCTATATATTTTAACCTATGCTTTCCAAATATCGAAAAGAAACTTACCGGCGAAGAAATTCTTTTACTTGATCTGAAAATGGATTGATTTGATTCATAATATGAAAGTTGAATCTTTATATATCCTTTCAGAACAAGGAAAATGTCAAATGTCATATTTTGATTGATAAATTTTAATTTTCTGAATCTTGTTAAATCAGTTCTTTCGCCACAGTTAAACCACCCACACTGAGTAATTTAAAGGTTTAATTAACGATATAACACGGATTATTATTTAACCAATCGAGTGGACAATTAGCCAACGGCGTCACTTCATTCTCACCCTTAAGGGGAAGTGTGCAATATGTTTTCAATAATGAAATGAAATGCGGTTTAGCGTCCTACTGTTCTACTCTGGCTGGGCTAATGCAGTGTGCTATGAGGGAAAGTTTACCCGGACAACGGCGCTACGACCTACTCTTATATCGAATTCGTATTGCCAAGGGATCTTTTATGTGCATGAAATGTGTACCCGGGACCTCAGTTTTTCGTTCTGCCCATCGAGAAAGAGAGAGAGAGAGAGGGAGAGAAACCGGAGGACCCGGAGAAAAAACCCACGAGGTTGGACAGGCGACCATAGTCCTTGTCACGTACAACCGAGAAATCGAAACCACGCAAGTTAACTTAATGACAGACCTAAAGATACAGCGCAAATGGTTACATCTTTGCAAGCTAGTAATTCAATTCGGATTTGTGCATATCGAAATTTGAATCGTACACATCATACTAGATTTGGACTAAGACATTGCTACATATTGCTCTGTGGTGGATAGCATTCAGCCTAAAGAACATTTTCAAAAACATTATAGTCGTGACATTAGACGAACCAATGGTGTATTTTGGGTGGTCTGCCCCCAAAACCTGCCAATTGAGTTATTTCCCTTTATTAACACATGCCCGAAAGCATTTATTGATAGGATAAAAACAGGGGCGGATTAGACAAAAAATGAAAATAATAATTTTGTCCAATTCGTCTAAAAAAAACATTTTTCTGCTGAAAATTATATGGGGGGGGGGGGTATTGGACCGGGCATGGAGCGATGATGATATCATGTTGTATGTGGCCGGTGGCTTTAACGGGCCGCCATGCCATCACTGGAGTCTGGAATGGGCTGGTATAATATACTTTCTGGGCCGGGTGTACTGGGTGTGGGCCGGAATTCATTATCTGAACTAATGCTATGTTCATTAATCAATATGTAGTGTGTCAAATGTTCAAGTTCGGAGTCAAGGTAAAATAATTTACCTGGAACAACAAATCCAAAAATCAAAAAGCAGCTTTCATGAATTTCACTTTCGTCACTTTGTACCAATGTTTCTCGTGGACTACCATCACAGGAGGAATCAACTAGCGCTCACGGCAACAAAAATGAGACATTTTTCAATGAAAATATTCTTACTTATTAAATATTCCTAACTGGTTAATCAAATGGTCAAATTTTTCTCAATTAGTCCCATTTCTTAACCAGTTAAATTCTCTTGACTCTTGACGATACAATGATAATACGTTAATTTATAATATGATGATATGATAATTTCACAGGTTGATGGTTGTAAATTACTTGCAGGTCGGGGTTTTGGCCTATATTAATCGATTTATGAGATATATTATTTGACAGAGATTATAATCAGATATGCCACCAAATCGCATATTTGGGGTTCATTTTTCAAAATTTTCCCTGGATAAAAGTGGAATAACACATGACTTTACTTGTAATGCTGTTCAATGAAACGTGTTAGCTATGGATGGTAGGGACCACGGTGGTTTAGTGGGTAAGACGTTGGCTTGGTAGCCTGGATGTCGCGGGTTCGATCCCTGCATTTGGCCGAGAAAGTTCATCGGGATTTTCCGACGTGGTTTCCCCTTGTCAGTGATGCAGGACGGAGGTCCTGACAAGGACAGCTGTCTGGTCATTCGGATGATACGAAAACCCGAGGTCCCGTGTATACATTGGTGTGTACGTAAAAGATCGCTTGGCAGTTTGAATTCGATATAAGAGTAGGCCAGAGTACCGCTGCCCGGGCAAAATTTCTCTTATAGCACACTGTATGGCGTATGCCTGTCTTCATTAGCCCAGTTTGGAGCAGAACAGTAGGAAGTTAAACCCCATTTAATTTCACTGATGTTTTAAGAACGTTACGACTCTAGAATATAAGATTTTCGATAATTATTTACAGTATATATACAAGTACTGCCTATATTTCAAAACATCGTTTGACCATTTGTAGGAATAGTGATGTGCGGTGCAAGTACTAACGGGTTTAAGCGACTACTGACAACACGTATATTTCTAACGAGTTTCCATGAATAGTAACCACAATTAAGTGATTTGAGGATATTCTACCGTAGAACCCAGGTAGTAAAAGCTTAGAGAGCAATCCTACACACTACGCATCTTACTGTGTCATTTATTATCTGATAGTTAAGCCCGTCGTACACGAGCAAATTGTCTTTGACAAATGGTGATTTGTCACAGAAATTTGCACGTGTACGAGAGGAAATTTGCCACATTTTCATTTGCCATATGAGATTTGACAAAAGCTGGCATGCATAGCTTTTCGTCAAATAAACGTGTCAAAGATTTGGAACTTATGCTCGTGTACGATAGGGCGTCAAATAAATTGCTTTCTTCGTACACGGTCAAAGAAAAATTGAAGAGGCCGTCAAAGAAATTTGTCAAATTTTCTTTGCTCATGTACGACGGGCTTAAACCTAATGTTTGAACAAACATATAGGTCCTACTGATCAGGGGCATGGTGACACATACTTTTGTATGAGGAATGGTATCCCTAAGGGGAGCACAGAAACCCACGGTATGCAGCATTAGGGGGTGTCGGGAACAAGGGTGTGGTGACCCATGATTTTGCATGAGGAACAAGATCCCGTCCTGGCCCCCAAAAAACAATATATGTGTGCAGGTGGGAGGGGGGGTCCTCCCAGTGCCACCGAGTAATACTGGACTGTGTTGGATATGCTAGAGTCGATTTGTAGCATACTGACTCGTGGTATATGTTTGTCACTGGTTAAAGGAGCTAAATCGCTAACATTTGGGACCTAGAAATTGACACAAGTGGGTCGGAACTCATATAATACTGTAATATGAATGTATATAAACTGATATCCATTCAATGGTTTCCGTTTTTACTCTAATTTCAAATCAGTTCTGTTCCGCGAAATAAGCCAGCAGTCTCAATCGAATGCAAATTTCTAGCACCTGGTTATTCCAGTCTACATACGCTGTTTGGTTTGGTGCAATATGTGTAGCCTCGTTCCTCGAGTCTCTTGCTAGAACTGGGGCTGAAACGCATTATAGTACACGATTCGTGTACTAATGGTAAAATGTTTATTTTGTCTTAAATATTGGATATCAGAAGGCCATCTTTTTCCGGTAAGATCACAGCATCAATGTTGATTTAAATTGACAAATAATTTGTGTTTTCAATGTTGAAGATTTTGGATGATATTGGGTTAGAGACTTAGCTACTTTAAGCATTAAGATTATAATGTTGAAAACCATATCGAAACCGTAAGATTTTTTGCCAATCGCAAAGGGCGTACAAATTTAAAACCATGAGGCAAAGCTCGCCATTGCGCCCCTCTCACATAACCCCTGCTGCTGATGTGTTAGTCTTCGATAAATCCCAATATTTATCTGGTTAGTAAATGTTATTGCCTTAGAGAATTCTCTAATCAACATCTGCTTGGAATGATATTTTTTTTATTTAAAGGATATAATTCTGTAACTGCCCTCAATCCAACTCAAACAATAATTAAAACAAAATTTAAGAAAATAAAAATTTTATAGTAATGATATGCAACTGGTGATATTATCATATCCTACCCCCCAAAACAGGTTTCATATTCAGGTTTAATATACAAGTTTATGTATAATAATTCAAGTTTTGTATAACAATTCAAGTTTGGATAACAATTCAAGTTTTGAATAACAGCATGTTTCGTATAACAATTCATGTTATGTATAATAATTCAAATTTTGTATAACAATTTATGTTATGTATAATAATTCAAGTTTTGTACAATAATTCATGTTTTATATAGCAATTCATATTTTGTATAACAATTTATGATATGTATAATAATTCAAGTTTTGTATAACAATTCATGCTTTGTATAATAATTCAAGTTTGGTATAACAACTCATAATTTGTATAAAAATTCATATTTTGTATAACAATTTATGTCATGTATAACAATTCATTTTTTGTATAACAATTCATGTTTTGTATAACAATCCATGTTATGTATAATAATTCAAGTTTTGTATAGCAATTCATATTATGTATAATAATTCAAGTTTTGTGCAATAATTCATGTTATGTATAACAATTCATATTTTGTATAACAATTTATGTCATGTATAATAATTCAAGTTTTATATAACAATTCATGCTTTGTATAATGATGCATATTTTGTATAATAATTCATGTGTTGTAAATTAATTCAAGTTTTGTATAAAAGTTTATGTTTTGTATAATAATTCCGGTTCTGTATAATAATTCAGTTCATGTATAATAATCTCTCTCTCTCTCTCTCTCTATCTGACAACAAGAACTTAATAATAGAACACTCTCAATACATTATAAATACGTCAATACTCAAAAGTTAAATATGAACTGACAGTGGTTAAACCATGCCGCCATCGAAGCTATCTTACAAGTGTAACGTCATAGCACCAATCGATGCATGTCAATCCTACACAAAGTGGCGACAGTACGGATCGGATAATAAGTTTACAAAATGTACGGATGTAGTTCCTGGTTTCAAAATGAAAACAAATATTCGAAAGAAACAACTTTGTTTAAATATCATGTCAAAAATTATTGATGATTTAAAAACGAAAACGCGTCGACTGTTACGACTCGCGTCAACTGTTACGACACGGGCCCATTATTACGTCACGCATCGCCTGTTACGAAGGATTCGACAACAAATGAAGTAATATTGATTAATTAATCGAACCACGTGTTCCGACTTCACCATACAGCAAACAGAATAGCAACGTTTTCCACGGCAACGGTTTCCATAGTAACAGTCACACAAACACTCATACACACAGTTATTGCATTATTTGCATCAATTGGTCGTACACGTTAAACCTCAACTCTATTCAATGCCGATTTTTTTTCATCCTCTGGATCGGGGTCGCCTTGTATTTCCTTCGATTCTTGCTGACCCGGAAGTAAATCCTCTAAAGCGGTACCAAGAGTTTCCGGTAATAAAAAGTAGACGATACCAAAGCTGACACCTTCTAGAACAATTACTATTACATATGGGATCGTCTCTTCAGAGGTCTGAAATGAAATGAAATGGGGTTGAACGTCCTTCCGTTCTGCTCGTAACCTGGGCTAATGAAGACGTGCATACGTCATACAGTGTGCTATGTGGAACATTTTGCCTGGACAGCGGCACTACGGCCTACTCTTATATCGAATTCCAACTACCAAGGGACCTTTTACGTGCATGCCAATGTATAACCGGGACCTCGGTTTTTCGTCTCACCGGAACGACTAGACAGCTGTCCTAGTCAGGCCCTCCGCCCTGCACCACTGACAAGGGGAAATCCAATCGAAAAGTCCCGATGAACTTTCTCGGCCAATGCAGGGATCGAACATCCGACCTCCAGGCTAGCGAGCCAGCGTCTTACCCACTTAACCACCGTGGCTCACCCAGAGGTCTGAAATAACTGATAACGACCGTTAGGAAGGTGTTTAAAATTGGCAACCAGCAATGCATAAGTGGTGTCAGATGTTCTGGAACTGTCACAGTGTGCAGTAACGGAGAAAATACACCTGTTCAGCAGCCAAAATATTTGTTATTTGGATGAAATAAATAAATCTTTTGAAAAATAAACAGCCAAAAATAATGCGCTGGAACAATAACCAAGATGTCCTAGGTTCGATCCCGGTGTAGGTCAAATACGTTCCTCGGGACGTTGCAGCGTTACGCTTAATGCTATGTGTTCCGTAAACAGACCCGTTGTGTTTCCATCCTAAATGAAATGTGTTTGTGTCATTTATAATTGAATAATATCCAACTTACCAAAGCGAATACAAAAGGAGCTACGACGCTCCCAAGTCTAGCAGATGTGTTCGCTGCCCCGTAACCAAGGCTCCTGCAAATATGGTAAATTAAAAAAAAGGTTAGCACACGCCCTTTGTAGATAGGTCGGCAGGGCATTTCATGCAGCATGACGCATATGTATTCTTTTGTCGGTGTTTAAAGGAAATACTGAACTAGTTCAATAACTCATAACAATAATTTTTCAAATTGATCAAGGGCCATAACCTAGATAGTAATTATCGAAATTCGTCGGAAACCTCTTCTTCTCATGAACAAAAACACTGTCCATAAATTTCAAGTCAATTAGATCATAATTTAGTCACTAGAGCGTTCACAAGCAACAGTGGACGACGGAATGACTGGTGAGGCTGATGACGAGATATGACCGCATTTCAAAGTGGGTGTCTAAAAATGAAATGAAATATAATGTGGTTTAACGTCCTGCTTTTCTCCACCGACAAGGGGACACTAACTCCGTGCTGCATCGCCGACAAGGGGACACTACTCCGTCCTGCATCACCGACAAGGGGACACTACTCCGTCTTTCACCACCGACACGAGGACACTACTCCGTTCCTGGACTACCGGCAAGGGGGCAATACTCCGTTCCTGGACAACTGGCAAGGGGACACCACTCCGTCTGCACCACCGATGAACGAGAGCCGGGGGACGACAGTTAACTATATACTGAATGATAGCAATAGACAAGAATTACAACAACAAAAATCTGTTCGTGGTTTGCGTTAGGTCAAAAGTTCAGAATAAAAGGAATTTAATGGACGGGAGGGGTTGGGCTGTATACATTACCTGATAACTGTGGGATAGCTTTCATTGGTCATTGTTATTATACCGGCCCAGGCTTGACCAGTAAATATTCTAGTAGCCAGAGACAAAACTGTTATAATAGTTCCACTGTCAACTGCATTCACTAAAAAAATATAATGCAATAATGCAATAGAAATGGGGTTTAACTTCCATTCGACACAAACTTGGTTCAATTTTATTTTAATAATTCGCTTGCGTGTAAGGGGTCTTTAGCAGTTGGGGGAAACCGGAGGACCTAGAGAAAACCCACGAGGTTAGACAGGCGACCCTACTCCTTGTCACATGCCACCGGGGAATCGAAACCACACCAGTTGACTCAATGACAGACCTTATGATACAACGCACACGCGCTAACCATTCGGCCATCCAACCCGCCCTATAAATAAACATTACCTGACTTGGCTTTTGAACGGTGCCTTTAGATTTTGAATGTATATATTATCATACTTTCATGTCTGACCAGGGGCGCCGGAACGTTAGAGGTTTGGGAGGGGGGTAAAGAGGTGGTGGGTGGGGGCATGTACGACGGAACGTCAGAGGGTCCGGGTTGGTGGTGGGGTGGGGCCTTCACCGAGAAAATCTTTGAAATTATGTTGCAGGAACAATGAAATCTCTGACGTCTATTGACTAGTTACCATTTATACCCCATCAGATCAGAATGCATGAAATGAGATTTAACGTCCTACTGTTCTGCTTCAAACTTTTTTTTGGCGTCTCTTAATCTGACATGATGTCACGTGAATGGGTTGGTGCATCGAAATCTTAAGGGTACATATATTATCTAATCTCTCCCTCTCTCTGTATATTGAACTATACCTGTATATTGAACTATGACCACCATTACACAGCATGACGTGCCTAAACCAAGCATCAACAGACCTATTGCTCGACGACCAAATCTAAAAATTACGGGAAAATATCATTAACAATATTAAAAATTTCAGTGCCGGACTGGGCCAACCGGTCCACCTGTCCCAAGCTCATTAAAAACAAGTGGGCCTAAGCCTATAAAGAAAAAAACAAAAAAAGAAGAAAAAGAATGAAAAAAGAAGAGAAAGAAAGGAGAGGGGGGGGAGAAAAGAAAGAAGGAAGGAGAGGACAGGACACAGGACAGGAGAAAGAAATGATAGGAAAAAAATGACTGACAAACAACACAAAAAAAGAAGTGTACTACAAGGAAAGAACTTTATGAGTCTGACCTCATTATACCGAGAACCGTGTAATTCATCTTTTAACCTCTACTTAGTACTTCATATGTCATTATTGCCGAAATAATCGCCAAAAACTTGCCAGTTTTGAGTTTTTTGCGAAAAATTAATCACGTTTGGGTTTTGATTTCACTTAGAAATCAAAAATTTGCCTTCTTCTGGTTTGGTCTGAAATGTTGGAAAATAGGTTTGCGGTTGTCAATTTTCAAAATTTTCCGGAGGGCAGGCCACCCCCCACCTCCCCTAGACCCACCCCCCTAGACCCCCCCTCGGACGCTAGCAAGCCTTCGGCGCGTACTTGTGTGGGCCTTAGTCAATGCCCTGACAGGTGGGCCTTTGGCCCACCAGTCCGGCACTGAACAATTTATAACATTTTTCAACTGATTGAAACAGTGACCCATGGTGCCAATAGATAGGAGCGTGCTATAGACCAAAAAAAAACGAACCTGACGTCAAGACCACCATCTTTATCGACATAGCAAGCGAGGAAAGGTAATTTGTTGCAAATTTTTCAAAACATTTTAGGGCATCGTTTTGTGGGCATGTCACTTCTTTGATATTAAGTTTCTTCATAAGCTGTTGTATTGTTGTGAAGATAAACGATGACGGTAAGACTGGTATATGATAAATTGTGTTTTGATTGGTTCGTAGAGTCAACCTACGTGGCCAATGAAATCATCAAGGTCTGCTGATTTCATTGAAACCTGTGAATGGGTCTAGGGGTCAATGGAGTAGACCGGAACAATACGACTGGGAATACCGAGAATGCCCCCCCCCCCAGCAAAGGCGCAACAACAAGAGGTGTATCGCTTGTGGCACAGACCATGGTTCAATAAAATATTTTGAAACCCAAGAAAGGCAAAACTTACCTGTTCATGAAATAAATAGCAGGTATACAAATGGGGAATTCTAGAATATTCATCAGGAACTGATTCAGGTAATAATTGCCAGAAAATTTACCTACACCAAAACTAAAACCATAATATGATGCCGCTAAACACCACCTAATAAAATACGTTAAAAAGAAAATTAAATCAAAATCAAATCAAATCAAATCAAATGAGTTTAACGTCCTACTTTTCTGAACCTACTTGGCTAATGAGAGAAAGAGAGAAATGGGGTTTAACGTCCACTCGACATAAACTAGGTCATCTCGGGACTAACATATGGTTCAATTTTATTTCATTAATTTGCGCGAAAGAGGTCTTTAGCAGTTTGAGGAAACTGGAGAACCCGCAATAACCGCACACGTTAACCATTCGGCCATCCAACCCCCACCCCCATCCCCGCAATAGCACATGCCTTTCCATAAAAAGTCATATATATTTTTAAAAGCCACAGCAAACTCTCGAGGTTGGACAGGCGATCCTGGCCCTATTCCTTGTCACGTACAGCCGGGGAATCGAAACCACGCAATTTGAACTATAAAAAACGAAACGGAATAGGCTAGATAACTCACATGTAACCCACCAGTTGCTTTAAGGGGTGAGGCTACCCGAAAAATGTTTTCTGAAATTCTAAAGCTATTGAATTGAAAATGGCACAAGTAGTTAGAGTTACCATGGCAACAGCTTTTTTTTAATGTTAACTTTTCCTTGTTTATTACATTTTCTAACTACTTGTACTATTCAATAGCTTTAACATTTCAAAACAAAAATTTTCGGATTGCCTCCCCCGCTTAAAGGGTCAATGAAGTTGAACATACCAAACAATGTGTAGAGATATTGTATGCTTGGCTATTTTAGCGCCTCTATAAATGTCTAAATACGAGTATGTTTTTCCGCCTTTCTTTTGTGCCTCTTCCTCCTTTGTAATTTTCATTATTAATTCTTTTGTATTGCTAGGTTTAACCCTTCCATTCATCTTGGCCACCATTTCCACAATGTCTTCCGCTTCTTTGATTTGACCTTTGACGGCCAACCATCTTACACTTTCTGGTATGATACTACAATTGCCAAAAGAACATGGCTAAATCTATTTGTTAGGGCCAGCTCAATTTTTGTCAAGGTCGTTGAAATGTAAATAAGGTTCGGGAACGTGATTGTTGGCGAGATTGTAGGTTAGGGTTAGGGTAAGCAATGGGGCTAGGTCCAGGGTTAGGTTTACGGGTTGGGATTAGCGCTAGCCCTGTTTACATCCCGTGACCTATGACGAAAAGTTGAGTTGGCCTTATCATTTAGCACTAACCATGCGTTATTTCATTCTCCACGCAAGTCTCGCTATCCCGTTACGCATATTTCCCCCAAGGTCACGAGATGTAAACAGGGTTAGGGCACATGATTGTTGCCGAGGATTGTGGGTTATCGTTTGTATAAGGCGTAGGGCTAGGTCTTGGGTTAGGGTTGGTGTTCGCGCTAGCCTTTGGCCTTGTCAAATGGATCTCACCATCCAGTTAGTGTGAACTACAGTGGGAGACAACTCTGCTTAGTAGAAGAATGACGTTATGTGTTAGTTATGAAATGAAAAGGAGTTTAACGTCAGTCCTACTGTTCTGCACCCACCGGGATAATGAAGGTGGGTAATGTGCTATGACGGAAATTTTGCCCGGACAGCCGCGTTACGACCTGCTCTTAGGCATGATAGGTAGATTGAAATAAAACGCTTTTAAGCTAAGACTATCTTGAAGGGGGGGGGCGTGTTAGGCGGGGGAGGGGGGTAGTGTCGGGGGGGGGGGGGACACAGGGCGGAAATCGAGCTGGGCCCTGGGTCCTGTTTCACGAAATCTTAACTAAAGATAAAATCGTAATTTTAGTAGATACTTCAATTTTGATTGGTTAAGCACTAAAATCAATCTCATATTATCCAATTTGGATTTTATCTTAGTTAAAATTTCGTGAAACAGGCCCCTGCTCTTAGGCATGATAGGTAGATTGAAATAAAACGCTTTAAGCTAAGATCATATTGAGGGGGGGGGGGGTGTATATGTGTGTGGGGGGGGGGGCACAGGGTGGAAATCGAGCTGGGACCTGGTCTATAACACCTGTTTATTAGTATATATATGCCCTCCCTATTTTTTTTTATTATTATTTTGCTGATATATTCTATTATCATAATTAAATGTCATAATAATATAATCCATCTCAGTGCATATTAGCGTGGAGTGAGTGCAAATGAATGAATTGTTTACAATGACAAATAATTTTTTATGAATTGAATTTTATAGTTTAACATGAACATTATTTTGTATTATAAATGTCAAGTCAAATAAATTGTAAATTGAAAATTATATTAACTGTCAACCGAAAGTAACGGAATAGAGCAGGTCGTATAAAAATAGAATAGAGTGACGGTAAACCGAGAGAGAGAGAGAGAGAGAGAGAGAGAGAGAGAGAGGTCTAATGTCATCGACACAAACTAGGTTATTTTGTGACTAACATAGGGTTCGATTTTATTTCAATAATTCGCTTGCGCGTAGGGTTTTTAGCAGTAGGAGGAAACCGGAGGACCCGGAGAAAATCCACAAAGTAGGACAGCCGACCCTAATCTTTGTCACGTACAACCGGAGAATCGAAACCACGATAGTTGACTCAATGACAGACGTAAAAACAAGGGAAAAATATAAAATGAAATTTGGTTTATCGTTCGGCTTTTCTGCACCAATCGGGATATTGAAGACGAGAGGGAGAGAAATGGGGTTTAACGTCCACTCGACACAAACTAGGTCATTTCGGGACTAACATATGGTTTAATTTTATTTCAATAATTCGCTTGCGCGTAGGGGTCTTTAGCAGTGAGAGGAAACCGGAGGACCCGGAGAAAACCCACGAGGTTGGACAGGCGACCCTACTCATTGTCACGTACAACCGGGGAATCGAAACCACGCCAGTTGACTCGATGACAGACTTTATGATACAGCGCGCACACGTTAACCATTTAGCCATCCAACCCCTTATTAAGGACAACAATGCAACATGTTATATGAGGACAAATACACACACACACACACACACCCACACACACACATCAGTGGCGTTTCTGCCTACTCTTCGCCGAATGCAAACTGCCAAAGATGCTTTTACATACCATCCGAAAGACTAGCCGCTGTTACTGCATATCTGAAAAGGGGAAACCACTCTGGAAATTCCCGGAAAATGAAATGAAATGAAATGGGGTTTAACGTCCTACTGTTCTGCTCCGAACTGGGCTAATGAAGACGGGCATACGCCATACAGTGTGCTATGACGGAAATTTTGCCGGGCAGCGGCACTATGGCCTATTCTTCTATCGAATTCCAACTGTCAAAGGATCTTTTACGTGAACGCCAATGTGTACACGGGACCTCGGTCTTTCGTCCCATCCGAACGACTAGACAGCTGTCCTTGTCAGTCCCTCCGTTCTGCATCACTGATAAGGGTGAACCACGCCTGAAAATCTGGATGAACTAATCCCGGAAAATATTCTCGGCCAACCCATATCTGACATATTAAAAAAATACCTGACATGATCAAATTTTATACTTACAACCATCCGAGTAAACACGGCACGGTAAAAATACCAACAGCTATGTGGACATAGGACCAATCTTGAAGCAGATAAGTTGACAAGGACAGAAAGCAGACGCCAGTTGCCCAAAATGGTATCAGCGTTAAGAAAGGTCTCCACCGGAAAGACAGAAACTCCACTGGAAACATGCAGACAACCAGGTAGGCCCCCATTGCTATTCCAATAACAAATCGCAATGCTGTAAACATCTGCCAGGATGTTGAGAAACCAATACCAATACTGACGATAGAGTGCAACAACAGTGTCAAGTAGAAGGTCTTTTTGCGTCCAAAAGAATCTGCAAGCTGTCCACAAATTAAAGTTCCTACAAGAACTCCAGACATCTGTATGGAGGTGATGATAGGTGTTACCCATTTCCTCTCACAGACAAGATCCCACTACAAATAAATAACATGTATGCATTAAAGTTACGATTTCAATATACCCCATAGAGAGTCGCGGTGGCTCAGTGAGTAAGACAGAACCACGTGTCTATTCACCTCGGAACTATACGTCAAAGTAATAGTTTATATGAGTGATTGTCAACTCATCTCAACTATGCATCAATGCAATAGCAAATTACTAAGTAATTATCTATAAATCTTAACTATTCAACTATGAGTATGCTTCAAAGATAATACTAAGTAATTGTCTATTTACCCCAGAACTATGCGCCAAAGTAATAGTTTATACTAAATAATTGTTCATCTCGGAACGATGCGCCAATGCAATAGATAACGATAAGTAATTGTCTATTCAACTTGGAACTATGCGTTAAAGTAATAGTTAATATTAAGTAATTAACTATTGACCCAGAACTATGCGTCAAAGTAACAGTTAATATTAAGTAATTGTCTATTCACCACTATTTACCTCTATTTAACCAAGACTTATGCGCCAAAGTAATAGTTAATACTAAATACGTGTCTGTTCATTTTAGAACTGTGCGCTAATGTAATAGTTCATTATAAGAAATTGTCTATGTACTCGGAACTATGTACCAAAATAAAGGTTAATACTAAGTAATTGTCTATTTGCCCCAGAACTATGCGCCAATGTACGCGTCTATTCACCTTGGAACTATGTGCCAAAGTAAAGGTTAATACTAAATAAGTGTCTGTTCATGTCAGAACTATGCGCTAATGTAATCGTTCATTATAAGTAATTGTCTATTCACCTGGGAACGATGCGCCAAAATAATAGTTTATAGTAAGTAATTGTCTATTCACCTCCGATACGACCGTCTTCAGTTGACCATCATATACTCTATGACAAGTTGAACTGTTGTTTATATCAACATCGCATTGTTTATACGAGGAACTATTACTAGATAGTTGTTCTAATGCTGAGTCAGCACACCACCATTCTGGTTCTAAAGCTCCAAACGCCATGATCATCATATTATACCCCATAGCCAACTTTGGGACGAACACCATTGTGATTAACAGAATCTGGAACCTCCCTGTCGACCCAATTTCCTCCATTAGATCGTCTAAGTGCATCTTGTAGTTCTTATAACTCACCGACTATAAAGTATAAAAATAAATATACATTATGGGAGATTATATCAAAACATGTAATGAAGTAGAGTTAAATGGGTTCTGAATATTAAATATGGGAGATTAGATAAAGAGCTGGCAGTTCTCATTATAATAGTTAAAATCTTCATAACGTAAAGGGAATTTTTGGAAAATTTCATTCAAATTGATCCACTCTGAACCGAGAATTTAGCGATTGAATTTTGGGCCTAGCCTCGATCATCATTACTAAAGTCGGTACGATAAAAAAAAACATAGTCTCGATCATAAATATAGACTGACATTCTGCTGTCTTCTACCAAAAAGCTGGGAAGCCGCGGTGGCTCAGTGAGTAAGGCGATGGCTGACTAACCAGGAGTTCATGGGTTCGATCCCGGTATTGGCCGAGAAAGGTCCTTGGATTTTCCAGCGTGGTTTCCCCTCGTCATTGGTACAGGACAGTCTCTAGTTGTTCGTATGGGACGAAAAACCGAGGCCCCGTTACACGCTGGTGTGCACGTAAAAGAACCCTTAATAGTTGGAATTCAATAGAAGAATAGATCGTAGCTGTAACACTATATTAGCGATAACAGAGATCAGTTTCGTAAATATAAAATTTATTTACACCAGGAACAAGAATATGAAACAGCTACATGCATAAAACAGGAACATAAATTAAACAGGAACTAAACTACACCAGGAATATAAACAATAACATCAACACATTACATGAATAGTTTAATATAACCATTCCGTACTTCTGCCACGGCAGCGGCTGAACTTGGGTGAGTCCATACGATCTTCCTCCCGTTTCGCCGTCTACCCCTCTTCTCTATATTTCTTGTTGTTTTTCTTAGGTTTAACGTTCGCTTCCACCGAAGGTGATATCGCAGACAAGTCTTATTTTACATTTTATTTTTATTATCATCTTAGCGTACGCGCGGGGGTCTTTCTTGTGGGAGAAAAAAGGAGTACCCGGAGTAAACCCACGAGGGTGAGAAGGCACCCCTATCTTCAAGCCACATACACCCACACCTAGGGATCGAAACCACAACCGCAAGCCAATGACCGGGGCCAGCTACAGGTCGAAGCACTGCACTCTAGACTGTCAATAATCTCTTGATTACATAATCCAACAATAGGGAAAATGGATACGACCATGGGTGTGGATTCAAGGGGGGGGGGGGGCGCTTAGAATCGGAAGGGGGGGACGAATAGGTCTCTGCCCCCCCCTCCCCCATGATTTTGATCGCAAGGACAGATTTTCAGGTTTATATCCACATGCCTTGGGTCTCGCCACAGTTACTGATCTTCACGATATCTCCTTAATTGATCGATCGCAGCTATCAATTATTCCATATCGTCATCATATTACACCTAGCTACAGCTTTCATCGACATAACACTGGTACAGTAAACTGTTCGTAATTATTATTTAGGTTTGGTAATGAAATGTTGCAGGTTCCATGGTTCGTCCGCCGCCCCCCCACCCCCTAAAAAAAGTAGTTTTGACTAATCCACGCCCTTGGATACGACCGGGATGCGAATATAAGGAATTTGAGGTCTAACTACACGTCATTGTTATATATTTACTAAATCAGTGGATGTATAGCTGATCACATAAGCAGTGCCGGACTGGTCGGTCGAAGGCCCATCTGTCAATTCATTGACCACCAAGGTCACACAAGTATGCGCGAGCGTCTGAGGGGGGTTCCGGGGGGCGGTCTCCCCCCTTGAAAATTTCGAAAATTGACAACCGCAAACCCATTTTCCAAGCTATTCAGACCAAAGCCGAAGAAGGCAAATTTTTGATTTCCTGATACAATTAGATAACAGAATGACCTAAGAGCACTATCATTAGGAAAGAAGGATCCTCCCCCCTCTCCTTTCTTTCTCATTTCTTTTTTCCTTTATTTTTCTTTCTCTTTTTTCTTTTTTCTTTATAGGCTTAGGCCCACTTTTTTTTTAATGAGCTTGGGACAGGTGGACCGGTTGGCCCAGCCCGGCACTGCACATAAGTATTTTATTTTAAGACAATGTCTAGGTTATACAACTGGAATTGATTAATTCTGTAATTCTAACACGGCGAATACATTCTTCGTATAGAGTTGAACAGATAATATCATATACATGTATTATCATAACCAGCTGGAGGTCTATAAATTCACTGCACTTAATTACTCGTTCAATTTGATGGAAGTTATAGAGCATAATTTATCTCATAACACACTGTCGCCATGACAGAGAGAGAGAGAGAGAGAGAGAGAGAGAGAGATGGTGTAACGTCCACTCGACACAAACTAGGTCAATAATTCGCTTACGCGTAGGGATCTTTCGCAGTGGGAGGAAACTGGAGGACCCGGAGAAAACCCACGAGGTTGGACAGGCGACCCCACTTCTTGTCACGTACAACAAGGGAATGGAAACCACGCCAGTTGACTCAATGACAGACGTTATGATGCAGCGCGCACGCGTTAACCATTCGACCATCTAACCCCACTGTCTTCATTAGTCCAGTCGGGGCTGAACAGTAGGACGTTAAACCCTATTTCATTTCTTTTTAGAAAAAATAGACTTTACGCTATTAAACAGAGAGTAGATCATTCGCAGGTTTATCTAAACTGCACAGCTGACTGCTACTATCATAGGACACTGTATGGCGTAGGCCCGTCTTCATTAGCCTAGTCGGGGCAGAACAGTATATGACATTAAACCCCATTTCATTTCTTTTTTACGCTAATAAACCGAGTCAGTAAATCATTCGCTGGTTTATCTAAACTGCACATCTGACTGCTGCTATCATTCACTATGATGCTATCGGGTTACACCTATGGAATTATATCCAGGAGTGCGAGATTCGTATATTAACCTACTTTTAACTACAACTTACCAGAAAAGAGCTTTTCTATCCTGTTTTTGCACGTGCCTGAATTCAATCAATAAAATCTTTATTTAATAAACCAGAGTGACCTCCCATTAAGCGGTATTAACGATCCTTTGTAATTCATTCGTTCATTTAATTCATTGTATTCAAGTGTAATCTGCATAATATCTGCTGTTCAACGAAATGAAATGAAATGAAATGGGATTTAACGTCCTACTGTGCAGTCCATTGTATCTTATGTAAATGGGGGGGGGGGGCGTGGATGTCCGAATGGTTAGCGCGTGCGCGTGGTATTATAAGGTCTGTCATTGAGTCCTTTAACGTTACTCAGTATGACCAGGGACTATTGTGTATGGATGTCGTGAGGTTTATGTACATAAACAAAAATATGGCTTTTAATTTATCTTATTTATTGTACCATTCACAGCCTAGAATATGTTTATAAATGTAATTCCATGGGGCAGAAGGCGTGGTTTCGATTTCCCGTTTGTACGTGACAAGGAGTATGGGGGCGCCGGCCCAACCGGTTTCCTACCACTGCTAAAGACCCCTAGTTAATTTGTGTCGAGTGGACGTTAAACCCCATTTCTCTCCCTCTCTTTCTTTATGAATATTTGGTGGCACGAGCACGCGTTCAACCATTCGCACTGCCCAGTTCTTGTGGCAATTGTGACGGTCACGTTTTGGTATATTCGGCTGAACAGGTGTCCAGGGACATTCGGGCCAAAATAGAGACAATCCAGGCACCCCATAGGCTAGGATATACTATGACGGCTATAGTAGTTGTTGTTCATTAACGTCTCACCAGTTATAAATACATCACACATCACATTCATAAATAATATGGCGAACTGACTAATTAAATACTTTTTTATACAAAAACCTGACGACAGATGTTTCTGTATATTTACTAAGTTCGACCCTAGTGTTTAATCAATGTAGCAGCTTAACACATATTTACCAGTATGTTACTTTAATTGTAATTGAATTATCAGTGACAGGAAACGTGTCTAGTCGTTAGCATGGGACGAAAAGTCGAGGTCCCATGTGGACGTTTGAGTACTCCCTTGCCAGTTGAAATTCGATATTAAATTAGGCCCTAACGAGAGAGAGAGAGATAGGGGGGGGGGGGGTAACGTCCACTCGACACAAACCAGGTCATTTCGAGACTAACATATGGTTTAATTTTATTTCAATAATTCGCTTGCGCGCAGTGGGAGGAAACCGTAAGACCAGGGCCCTGTTTCAGGAAATTTTAACTAAGATAAAATTCAAATTTTATTAGTTATTTCAATTTTGATTGGCTAAGCACTAAAATCAATCTAATATTATCCAATCAAATTACTAAAATTTGAATTTTATCTTAGTTAAAATTTCGTGAAACAGGGTCCTGGATTCGAAACCACGCCAGTTCACTCAATGACAGGCCTTATGATACAGAACGCGCGTGCTAACCGCCATCCAAACCCCCTTAAGCCATAGCACCGCTGTTTGGCAAAAGATTCCTTGATGACAGATGAAATTCAAAAAGTGTAGGTGCCGCTGTCTGGGCAAAATTGACCTTATAGCACACTGTATGGCGTATGCCCGTCTTCATTACCTCAGTTGGTGCAGTAACGTCGAACACTATTTCATTTTAAGTTCACTACACGGAAATCGATCGAAAAAATAGTTCTAATTTCAAACACTAGGTGCTGTTCTATAACGAAAGAATTTAGAGGCTGGCTTATCGTTAAAGGGATGCTCAAGTGGACGATTTTAATGGATTTTTTTTAATTCCATAAGCGTTGATAATAGATTGAATTGGGGACTTCAGGCTAAAACTTTATACACCTGGCCTAACATTATGTACATCAGATAAACTACTTTTAAAGTTCACTATTCACTTATGGTTACCACTCTTTTAGTTATCAAGCACCTGTTTTATGGAATAATCTACCATTTAGTTTAAGATGGTGTATATCTCTATATTCTTTTTTAAAAAAACAACTTAAAACACATTTATTTAATCAGGACCGTGTTTCTCGAAATTTTAACTAAAGATAAAATCCAATTTTAGTAGCACTAAAATCAA